AAATGTGGAACTTTTTGAGTGCTTTATTCAGCAACCTTGAAAGTTTTGAAATAATTTTGAAGATGTAATTGCATGTGTTGGCCATGAAGGGTGTGCAATACTTCATTTAGGATTAATAATGCAAAAATACAGATATTTGCACAAAAAAACCCAAACAAGTGAATCCAGTTATGCTACTATAGGTACCTTAAAATCTTCAAAATTTGTTCAAAAGAAGGTTTTTATGTGCTATGCTCTTTCCCATGGGTAAGTCCTATTTCTAATTAATACAAACACTTAAAAATAAGAATAGATTATGTTCATCTTTAATGAAATTTAATGAAATCACTATAATCTAATTTAGAACTGCCATTTATGATTCTGTAGTTTCAAACAGAATTAGGTTCTGCACCTAACTTCAGATCCAAACTCTGGTATATAGGAAAAAAAAATCCTTCCTCACATTATTTTATTTACCACTTAAGTACTAAATGTACTCTGAGAACTCACAAGTAAAAGCTCGTACTAATTTTAAAACGGGTTTTCAGTAAAATGTAGCAATTTGCAAACATTTTATTTTTTGCTCTCTGTATGACCTTAGCAAGGAAACAAGACAGATTAACCAAACAGCTCAAACTGACTAAAACACTGTGGATAGGTTATAACAAGGATTTTTGCGTTTTTAATACTTCATAACCAAAAATGTGCTCCTGTAGGATTGGGCTTAAATTGCCATTCCAAAATTCATCTTCTCTCTGTTATCACTGAACTATAGTGTCATGTTGCATTTGCAGCTAAAATACCTACTTGGCTGTTGTCAGAAGGACTAAATGTTTATCTTCATAGGTTGATAAAATAAAGTATTATGATCTATAAACTCTGGGAGTTAAAATTTAAGACCACCTGACAGGAAATCCAGAAAATGAAGGTATTCAACTCATTGGCTGTATCTTGAAGGCCTGTTTTTGCCAAACATAAGCAGGATTAGGAAGGCACAATTGCAATTGGCCAGGGGATTCCATATCAGTTTTAACAAAAGCCTAAAACTGTACTGGCCTCCATGGGTTTTGCATAAAGACTGGATAATGAACATAATGAAACTATGACTATACTATCAATACACACAATACAGCAAGAGTTAAAGGATGTTTAATGCATTGCAAGACTACCCAGTAATAACACTGCAGACCAGTTTGGAAAAGAACAGAAATCTCATGCTTTGGGGTTTAAAGGCAGTGCATAACCATTTGGGAAGCAATTCTTTGAGAAGATTAAATTGCCAGCTCTTGGACCTTTTCATGGGTAATCAGTTGCTGTGCACAGCAAAAGAAAATGTGTTAGAGTAGATTAATTGTATACCTGGTAAAGTACAACTGTTACTGTGCCCTTAACTGAGGCCTTGATTTCAAAGTTATTAACCTCATGCTCTACAAAGTCAATTCAACTCTATGATTGTTCTCCAAGAAAACCCTGAGTAGTTCTACATGGGAGACCTATTTTCATGAGGAACAAGTACATCACACACCAACAAAATGTACATCTTCATTCTTATTCAGTTTTTTCCCAACTGTGTCATCCCCTAACAAGCAACCTTCTGAAAAAGCAATAAAAAAAATTTATGTTCTGTCTGCTCAAAGTTCTAGTTAAATGATTTATAACATCCTAACTGTGAGCTTCTCACTTCCTTTATTAATAGCAGATCTTTCCCCAGTGCCATGTTTTAGTTTCTGGATGGTCTGGACAAACACAGGTGAGCCTAAAAATGCTTACCAGAGAAAAAAAACCCAACACATATACAGGGAAAATACAAAGAAGCAAACCCAAGGAAATTAGGTCTATCTCAATTAAAATTAACAAAGACTTCAGCAGCTTATTCTGTTGGATCATGCCTAGTTTTAGGATGATGCTGCTATCTCACACGTTCAATTCAACTAATGTGAACTATAATCAATATTTTCATGATTTGCACTTGGATACCAAATCCCAAGAGCAGCCCCTAGATGCAGCCTAAACTGTACCTCAGCTTCCTGCTGTCACAAAATAGGTAAGACAATATTTCACATTGCTTGAGTACTTTGAAAATGGTGCCACTGATTCATTATTACAGCTACCAACATCTAAATTTATCATGCTTAAAACAGGACATAGCTATTTCATACGTAATAGTTTCAAGAATATTTCATTCTTTCAATAGGGAAGATCACATTAATGATTTAAATATAAATGCCAAAAGTAACTCATTGAGAGCATCTCGATGTAAAATATTCAGTTTACTTCTGTTAAACTCTAATCTGTATTGCAAAAAGACACTGTGGTCATAACCAATCTAAAAATGCCACAAAATGGAGAGCTGGCTTTCAGGTGTGTTACAAATGAAATCAGGAGTGTTATCGTTCAAAACAGCGTTCTGCTAGAGGATTGGATCTGTCTTTTCAGTCAAGCAGACCTCCCACAAACTTCAGAAAGGCAACTTATTTACATAAAAACTGCAGGGAAAGGCCCTTTAATTCTTAAGTATGAGTCAGCTTTTATGTTTCACTTCTAAATGAGAATTTTTATAATCAGAAAAGAAAACCAGTCTGAGGTGCTACTTAGGCCGTTAGCCCAGATGCCTCGACGCTGCAGATCACAAACCAAAACTGCCATCAGCTTTACCCAGTTCTGCGTGCAGCAGGATCACAGATCCTTAAATATGCAGCCCATATAACTTATGTAACCAAGCATGCAAACACCCAGCTGAAATACCAGAAGTGCCGGACAACAAAAGCACGGGGAGGATGGAATTTGGGTTATGTGTGTGTGGTGTACTTTTAATCCGATGCAGACTGAGCGAGGTACAAATTGTGGCTGGCTCTGGCCCTGGAGCAGGCAGGGGGAAGCTGCGCCTGCCCCGCTTCCCTTGCCACAGCGCAGGGCCCTCGCTGCTTCTGGGGCTTCCTTCAAACCCGCTCCTGAAGTGAGGCACAGCTGCTCAAGTGGAGTCCGTGGAATAAACACTGCAGAGTGTCAGGAGCACATGAGCACCGAGTGTTTTGGAAGTTTGCTTTTGGCATACCTTTGTATCTTGGAAAAAGGAATCCGGTATTTTGTGTACCATAGACTTCTGCAGTGACATGCATTCATAAGCTAGTGCTGCTGCAAGCAACCAAAAGGCTTCCTACACAAATATTTACTTTGTTGAGAACATTTTAACCTGAGAGCTAAGACAGGCAAATATTAGCTACTGAAATCTTCTTCAAATGACATATTCCTTTACACATATTCCAAGTAGATCTATCAGGACATAACACTAACTGTCTTCAAGTAATATCAAAGCAAACAAGGGAAATAATGGAGATTAGGAAAAAAAATAATTTCATCTTATGTTGCGTATTTTCACAAATATGCTGTACAAAATAAGAATATATCTCACTAAATACACATCTTGGTCCTTATCACATGACTTAAACACGATAAAACCATGCTGAGTTTTAGCCTTACCTAGAAATCTCTGAATAATGTACCTTGATTGTTTGTGTTATCTTTTTACTGACATGACAAAAAAAGGAAATCACTGTACTGAATACCTGGAGTTTCACAAAATGCTAAATTACTGTGTACCTAAGCAAAAGTAGTCAAATGCAAGCCTGGAAAGCAGGTATGATTCTAATGCACTCACCACTGACAGTCTATTAAACTACAGAATCATTTGAGTCAAAAGGCTGGAAGCTGTTGTGGTTCAGGATAACAAAGAACTAGAAGAAAAAAATTTTGTAGAACCTATCTAAAGGTCTCAGATTCTTTAAGCCATAGGGGCTCATTCTTCTCCCCTTGCACTCCGCAAGAGTTTTGACACCAGCTGTAGCTGCAAGGCAAACAGAACTAGAAACATGGTATGTGAGATCAGGGAAGCCGTGTGTCTCACAAGGACCAGATCTGCACATAAAATGTCTCATAGGCTTGTCTTGGTTGTTTATATTTCTTTCTTCTTTCCAAAACACAAAAAGAAACAATGATGTGCGAGAGCTGACTGTCATCTAAATTTCAGATCAATTTGCATCTGACTGATAAAAGCAAAGTATACTTAATAGGTGGAGTCCATTTACTCCTAGTAATGTAAATTACACTAATTAAAAATTCTGGTTTTGAAGATTCTAATCAAAACAAATAAGCAAACAGAACTTCTAGTGAAGTCACCAGAATTCACATAAAACTGACAGGTAATAGTAGAAGACCATAAACACCTTTCATATTTTGTCTTCATTATGAAAGTATGATTTTCATATTCCAGAGCTGGTCAGAAGTACCAAATAGTTTGTACTGTTTTACCACTGTAAATAGTTTGTACTGTTTTAAGACCACCACTAAAAGCTTTGTTGCAGAAAACAGATACAAACCAAAACACATACAGGGATACCTTATGCTTTCTACTCATAGAAAATTCCCACTTAAGGAAGTGCGGAGCAGATTTGGCAATTCTGGAATTTATGCTGCCCCACTAAGTTTGCTATCATGCAATCAGAAACTTCAGTACTGACGGTAAACAGCCACCCTGAATCTACATCCAGCTCCTCACAAATAATTGAAGTCCTGGGTTCAGCAGTCACTGCACTGTTTTTAATTTCTAGTTTGTGCCTTTTTCTTAAAACAGAGAAGGAAAAGCAGGGAGGATGAGAAGAGTGAGGAGGGGAAGTAGATGTATACAATCTTCAATTTCTAATGACTTGTAAATGTTATCGGTACTAACACCAATTGATCTGCTTTCCTGTCCACAATCCTGTCAGCCGTTTGGGGTCCAAGTGTGAACTCGGAATTCAGCCCTGAGTGCTGAAATCAAGATTTCTACGAATTTACTGACCATCTCTGCAGGAGGAAGAAAAAAGCATCCACTGGATCTCCGTCTTTTCATTCCAAAGTCCTTATACAACCACTGCAGTTCTCAAGTAAAACGCTTATTGGTATCGTATTACTACCCCCCCACACACCCCCCAACCCAGGGTAGCTTTTATTATTCCCATAGAAAATAAAAATACAGCCTTTACCTTACAGATCTGAAAATAATCTGAAGTGAGCGTCTCTTGGATCTCCTCTCTGGGTGTCCCTGCAGCTCCCGCAGTCCCTCCTGGGTGCACGGAGCCACCAGCCCCACTTCCACTGCCACCGCCACTGCTTCCAACAGGGGATGCGGCAGTTAAACCATCCAAAACTTTGCGAAAATTAAATTTCTTCATTTTGGAAAAATCTTTAGGAAGATTTGTGGGGGGAGAAAGGATGTGTCGTAACACATTCAGCTACATGTAGCGACCGAGAAAGTCTTTAATGGTCCTCTGAGTGAGGCAGCACTTTAAGTCTCTTGTGCCAAACAGAATGTCAATATTAGGTATAATTGATCGAAAAATACAAAGGCTTCATTTTGTCAGACGCAAAAGCTACCTGGAATGGTCCTTTCCAAAAATAATTAAATAAATAAATAAATGAATAAAAAATCCACAAGCAGCGGGACTAAGATTTACGTTCAAACAAGGAACAATGGAACAACCGCCATCGGGTTCGCTCGCAAAATCCACATTTAGCAGTGGTCAAAACAGAAAAGTAAATAAAAAATTCAAGCCGGCATCCAAAACAGCGGGATCCATCCCTTTACCTTATCTGCCTAAGATCTGCCTTCGGCACTTGATTATTTCAGCAAAACTACCAAAATGCGTCTACACTCAATTTCCCCTTCCCCTCAAAAACCCCTTTGAGCAAGGGGTATCTCTGCTCCCGAGGTTTCCGCGGAGCGGATTCCCCGTTCCCAGCCGCTGGTGCGACTCCTGTTTCTGGTTCCCTGCCCACCCCAGCAAACGCCGGCAGCCGCTGCCGCACTCGGTGCTCCTCTCTCTCCCCCGGGCTCCCCGGCGCGGTGCGAGAGCCCCTCGCTCTCCTCGCCGCCCCGGCCGCCGCTCCGTGAGGAGCGACGGCAGCGAGCGACCCCCTAAGCCAGTCCTGCCGTCCCGGGCTGACCACCCGTCCCGTCCCTGCGCTGACGGACCCCCGCCCGATCACCGAGCCTGTGCCGCTGCCGTTCTCTCCCCCCGGAACCGCTCCGGCGGGACCGGGCTCCCTCCGGCGCCGGGGGGACGCGGGGCGGGGAGGGGCGGGTGAGGAGCGGAGCGGGGCAGGTGAGCGGGCAGCGGAGGGTGGCGGCGGCGGTGGCCGCTCCTGCCCGCCCGGCGCGCTCGCAGCCGTTCTCCGAGGTACTGAAAGCTCCGCCGGCGTCAGCCGCAGCTCCTCCTCCTCGCCCTTCCTCCTCCTCCTGTCTTTCCCTGCCTCCCGCCCCCGTCCGCCAGGCCCCGCCTGCCGCACCCTCGCGCAGCCGGCTCCCGCCCCCCGCTCCGGCTCGGCTGCGGGGGGGGGAGAGGCGGGGAAACGTCAGCGATTGGCAGGCACGCGCGGGCTCCTATTCCTCACTGCGGCCGCCGCGGGAACGGGACTGGCGAGCAGGGCAGAAGGGGCGGCTCCAGATAGGGAACAAGCGATGTCTGACTGCCCCGCGATCTGCAGCCTCTGATTGGAGCGCTGCGAGGATGGGCACCCGCTCTCACCAATAGGAGCAGAGCTCCTCGGCGCCCCGCCGCCAGCCCGGCAGGATGGGCGGGGCCAGGGGAGCCCCCGCCCCACTGCGGCGAGAGCGGCAGTAGCGGCCGCGGAGCTGCTGAGGGGAGCAGGCGCGGGGCAGCGGGGCTGGCGGGGAGCAGGGTTTGTGGCGATGGGGGAGACTGAAAGTTGGTGTCGCAGCTTCGGCTACGTGCGGGAGGTCGAACAGACCGAGAATTCGGCATAAAGTTGTGTCAGGGGATACTTGGGTTGGATATTATGAAAAGGTTCTTCCCCCCGAGGGTGTTTGGGCACTGGAACAGGCTCCCCAGGGCAGTGGTCACAGCAGCCAGGCTGACAGAGTTCAAGAAGCGTTTGGACAATGCCCTCAGGCACATGGTGTGACTGGGGGATGGTTCTGTGCAGGGCAGGAGATGGACTCAGTGATCCTCGTGGGTTGCTTCCAAGCCAGGATATTGCGTGGTTCTGTGCAAGTGTCCCGCGAGGTGACGGTCTCGGCGGTGGCAGAGGGGTCCTGCCTGAGGAGCCCCCACCTCTGGCCGTGGCACCGAGCGGTCTGTGCGGGTCGGTGCTCAGCCCGCGCACTGACATTGCCTCCTCGGGGGCAAATCCCTTTTTCCTTCCCGGGAGGAGTACAAAGAACCCAAGGGCTGCCCTTCCCGAGGCTCGCTCCGAAGCCGTGCAAATCGCCCGGGACAGCTCTGTGGCCTCTGAAGCGCGATCCGGCACAGGAGGTGTTACACTGCACACAAGCCTCTATAAAAAGGTTATTCAGGTCAGGAACAAATGAGGCAGCGATTAAAAGTGACTCATGGCACAGCGCTGTCAGCGTGGTTGGAAGCCGAGAACTGAATAAAATGGTGTAAGGAATAAGCACATAACACCTCTCCTGTATAGGAATTAATCTGTAACACCTCACCAAAGTGTTGCACCTTCCTCACACTTGAGGTGACCAATGAGTGCATACTGGTCATCTCATTTTTCACATGTTTTAGGGGTGCTTAGTGTAGTTCTGGTACCCACTCTAACCCCTAATTTGGTTTTTATGAATCTTACAGTTCTGTGAAGCAAGATAATAGTTTTTATAGTTTTTATTTCAGCATCTTAAACTGAGATCCATGTTTTGTTTTGTTTTTTTTTTTCACTTTAGCTCATCCATTTGTGTTCACAGGTACTCCCCATCTGCATGATAAAAAGATTGCAGTAAAGTTCAAAGAATAAGTGTAGCTTCACTTAGTGCCCTCATGAAAAATAAAGGGCACATTGCTGATGAAACTGGAAAGGTTGATAGGTTTCTGTAGCCAGGAAAAAAGGGAACAAAACTTCGTGTGGGAAACAAAATATATGAGGACTATGGCAAGGAGACAGAAATTAAACAGGGAATGGAACTGAGTAAGCAAATCTGTAAAGATAAAAGTACAGAGTTTTGAAGAATGAGGAAAAGTCAAAACCCAGTTGAAGCTATTTGAAGAATGTCATGTCCTACTAATACTATGTTCACCAGAGGCAATGCAAGTTTTAAAAAAAAAAGGCTAACAAAACCCAAAAGAAAGATAACGACATGAATTGTAAACAGGAAAGGGAAAGATAAGGTAAAAAATTAAATAATTAGGATGAAGAAAATGTCACAGAGACTTGGAAAAACTCTGTCTGAGAGTCAGGGGGTACTAGAGGAAGAAAATCTGATAACACAATAGTTTTACAGTTCTAGGGAGGACAGAGATAAGACAGTTTGTTTTAAGTCAAGAAAAGGATGAAAATTAGAAGAATGAATGATAACTTTGGAGTTGGAATAAGATGCAGACATTTTTTGAATACCAACAACATTTCTCTTCCAGAGAATCGCTATGGAGAGCTGGGTATTGATGATGAGATACTACCTCAGAGTATCCAAAAGGACGAGCAAGGATCCTCACACTGCCAGTCTGCTGTTAGGAAAACTGACCTGTAGGGAAAAAAACTAAACAAAACAAACTGACCAATAAAATATAATCAGTCCTGTTTATAAACACCTACTGAGAAAAAAAAAAAACTTGTTGTCACTACTGGTGCATGTGAGACATGTATGTCTCTTTTGGAAGTTTTTCTCTAAGCTGGACACAAATCCAGAGGCAGAGAGGGAGTGATGGAAATGAGAGTTGTGGGATGGGGCAGAGGGAGAGAGGACAATGCAGGACACAGGCAAACTCAGTTACAGTTTTGACAGGCACAGAAAGAAGCCCCATGGAATGACCACATTGCTGAGAAGTTTTGTTGTATAACAACAACAACAACAAAAAGGAAACAATTTGCTTTTGAAACAGTAAAAAAACCTATTGCTTCTTTTTTTTTTTTTTTTTTCCAGTGGAGAAAAAAGCAGTAGACACGAGGCATTCTGTTGCTGACTTGTACTGGTTTAGATGGTATTGGTGTTTCATAGGATACTTGTGAGATTGCCACCACGAGTTTTAATAAAAGTTGATAAAATTAGGAAAATATGGAAATGTTTTAGATATTAAATTGATACATAAATGAAGTTAAATAATACATGCCAGTGCATTGTGGGAAATATGTATCTGAATCTGTATTTTAGGTAGTAATAAGAGGGTATTCTCTTCAGTGTCTTTTTTTTGAATAGTATCTTTTACATTTAGTAGTCATCTTGTTCTGCAAGGTCAAACAGAAACCAAATGTTAAAAGGATAACAGTTTACTACAAAGATTTTGCTGAGAAAGAGGATCTTTAACAGTCCACACCATCAAAATTCATATGAACTTTCATTCTGATTTTTGCTTAAGGAAGCTTGTGATTATGTGCAGTGATATAAAAAAGATTGGTCAGAATAAAACCTGGCAAAGGAGAGTAATATTAATTCAGTGTTCTCTCAGTCTGATTCAAGAACTGATGAAGAAAATGAAGAATTGGGAAAGATGTGCTTAGATCAGCTGACCAGAAAGTGATAATATTAGAGATTGGATACGTTTTGTGTATAACTGATAATTAATGTTCCGGTCAGTTCTCTGACTTTCTTGTTTAATTTTTTGTTTATAGCAAATCCTGCTTCAGCCTGTGGACTAGAGTTTCCTGACTTCAAAGCTGAAAACATATTTTAATCTCAGGTTGTATTTTTGGTAGTTTAAAAAAAATACATGCAGAAGTGTGCAATAAGTGATGTTTTCACAGTTGGCACTTTTTTAGTGATTCATGTGAGTCCCTTTGATAATCCATGTGTTAGCAGTTAAAAGCAATGACCCTTGAGAGAAATCACTGTATGCCCACCAGCAGCGGGCTGGACCACAGCCTTGCAACTACACCCTGACAAAGAACTTCTGTGCCTCTAGAGAAACGAAGGAAAAAGGTGTCATCAAATACCAGAAACACATTTATGCCAATGCAGGCAAAACTGTGACTTTGCACAGCTACCTATTCCTCATTACACTGTGGGACATTTGCCAGGGTTGCCCATGTTTCTGTGTAATTCCAGAACATCGAATGGCAGCAAGCATAGTGTTCCTGCCTGCAGAGCTCCACTAAAAATATCCCCAGTTGGTGCTGAATATCTGGTTAGAACAGCTTGCTGAACTCTATCAATTAGCCAGATCTTAATCTATTTAATGTGTTTTATTAAGGCTATATAATGCTAATGTTTTAATCAAAATGTCAAGCAGTACTAAATCAGATTCATTAGGAAGGTCCAAGTCTATCACATCCATGTGGTTACCTTGATCAAACAAACCTGTAATCACATCAAAAATTGAAGTCAGGCCTGCTTGTCAAGTCTTGTTTCCATAAAGCCATGTGGACTTGCTTTCATTACATGCCTACCTTTAACTCCTTATTGATTGAATCACACATAGCATGACTGCTTTAATTCACATAACAACACTGTTTTGTCTAGGATTACCAAGGATGCCAGGTCTGTTATTACCTTGGTCATTCTGCTTGATTCTTGGAATAACATGAGCTTCCCTTTTACTCTTTGAATATTAGCTGTAAAGAGAGCTGCTAAAAATTAACATAAGAAGGCTGGAAGTCTCCTACTCTTTAAGGATCTTTGGATACTCAGGTGCCATAGAGACTGCTGATTGAAAAACAGCAGTGCCATTCTCATCCTACAGAGGTGTCAATGGATAGAAAGATAATTCATCATCCTCATGTAATATTAATACATTATCATTTTTCTTTCTTTTCACAAGAACAGGATGGAAATATTTACCATAAAAATGAGATCTTTTATGCATGCTCTGAAACCAGATTTCTTAATGAAGAAGCTGTGGAATGTGTCTGTACAAAACTGAGAATGTATTTTGTAATAAGGACTCCATTTTGTGCAGTAGGCAAAGTACAGGTGTAAATTAGCCCAGGAGTAGAGTTCCCCATGGATAAATCACCTCAGCTTGAGGTGATCTGTTCTCATTGCTGTTGAAAAGGAAGGTCCTGCATCCATTTGAACTCTTGGGAGGGTTTTGTCCCTTCAGCAATGCATTCATTTGCTAGGAAAGTCAATAGTTTTATTTTGGGTTAATGAGCTGGATTAGCTTTGCACAGAGTCAGACAAGCCCTAGAGCCAGTGCAAAGAAAAGCAGAGCCACTGAGCTGGACAGAAAGATGAGGGTAGCCCCACTTTTG